TGTTCCTTCAATCTCCCACCAGAGAGATCACTTTCAGATACACAGACTTTTATTTTGTTCTGCTATGAGTCTTCAGTTCCCAGAACAGTGTCTGCTGCATAGTAAATGCTCAGTAAACCACAAATGCTCATCAGATATGTCCTATCGGCCAATTCACCTGTAGTATGGATTCTTTCTTATCTCAGCACTGGCCTGTGGAAGGGCCATGGGTTTCACTGTCCAGGTAGGAAAGCTGAGTCTTAGAAGCTGATATCAAAAAAAAATTAAAAAAAAAAAAAAAGAAAAAAGAAGCTGATACATCCTAGACCTGGCTCACACTGGCATGTGAGAATCAATTGTTGAATTTTTAGGAATTTGGTTAGTATGTTACATTCCCATCAATAACTTGAAACTGATCATGATAGGAAACCACACAAATCAACAATGCTGTGAATCATGGCTTTCTTTTTCCTGGACAGGCATTGGTTAAATGTTTACACCCATGGCTTGGGAAGGGAGAGTGATTTTACTGATTAAGTAGCTTGGTGGTGGTGCAGAGTTTGAAGGTCTCCGAGCCAAACTTCAGCTCCCTAACTCAAATTCCACAGTTCCTTTTATCATCACCTTCTGAAATTCATTACACCATGGTCAGAAAAGGTGTTTTTCTTTTCTTTAGCTTTTAAACCTGATGTCCTGAGAGTTTAAATATATTGGGGAATGTGGCCACTTGGCTTACAACAGTACGAGGCCTGCCCAAATGACCTGTGCTTTGTTGTCTCTGTTGCTAGATTATAAACCTCTGTATTTTGAAAATATTTCCAGGATTGCCCATGATATTATTGCTGTGAGTTTAAGACCATTTGTTGATCCATTGGTGTGTTTGGGGTTGTATTAGTAAAGACATGTACTTTTGATATTCCCTTGGTTCAGACTCTCACTAGATCATATGTAATTTTCAGTTTTACCCCTTAACAGATCTTCCAGTCTCTATTTTTACCCCATTCCAGTGATTTTAAGATTCCTGTTGCTAAAAGCCAATGATAAACAAGGCACTCTCTGGCTTATTGACCAAGACAGAGAATAAAGTCCTTGTCAAGGGTCAAAACTCCAGAAACCATCTCCATCCCATTTTTGAAGGTTTACTTTGCATTACTCTCTCCACATTTTCTGTGTTCTAAATAATTTTCCAGCACATTCCTGGGGTAAAGACAAGGTCTGTTTTGTGTTCACTGTATCCTTTGTTCTTCTTCCACCACTGGTCATGTCATAGGTAACCAAAGAAATGCCACTGTGTCCTGCCACTTCTCCATGTTCTGGGTTATTGCTCCTTCAGAAAGCCTTGCTCCTTTTTCTTCCTGTAAAGATCAAAGCTGCCCAGAAACTTTCACTCACTTCCTAGGAAAAAAATCCCTCTGTATCTTCTACTTGTGTGTAATTTCTGATTGGACCTTGGACTTAATCCACAACATAATCAAATAACAGAAGTTTGTAACAGAGACAGACACAAAGGTGTCCATGAGGTGACAGACTCCAGCCAGGAAAGACAGTGAAGCGTGCAGCTCACCACACACACATGCTGAATTTGTACCTCAGAAGTATTTCCCAGCTCTGGGGTGGGGTGGGGGTGGGGGTGGGGTGGAGATCCAAGGTGTCAGCAGGGCTACTTTCCACGATGCTGCTCTTCCTGGCTGATCCACAGCCTTCTCACTTTGTCCTCACGGGGGTCTTCCTCTGCATGGTCGCCCTTGTTTCTTCATATTCCAGTACAAATGTGAGTTCTGTGAGACCAGAGCTCCACTCTCACGGCCTGGTGTAAACTGAATCACCTCCTTAAAGATTCTAAGAGTAAGAGCACCCAAAGGGCTTGGGCATGAATATGTGAGTGGAAGTGGGAGCACAAGCCAGCTCTGAAAATGGCCCTTTGTAATTTTATCCTCACTGCCCCTCAGCTCAGCGTCCAGGGGAGGGAAATGGGATGTGCTGGGAACTTAGCCACTTCTCTCCACAATCCTTTTCCTTTTCTTTCTTAACATATGACAGCTATTGTAGCATTTTCAAGTAAACAGAAAAACACAGAGTCTCCTATGTTCCTGAGCATAGCTAAAGACCATGGACACAGTGTGTCACTCTGTAGTATTTCCCAGGTTTTCATATGTAATTCTCCTTTCAAGGGCTTCAATTTCTCCCAGCCCTTGTACTTGAGCTTGATTGTAACAACAACAACAA